ATTGTTGTTATTATTATTATCATTACCATTACTATTATTATTATTATTGTGATTATAGTAAGCTATATAAAGAGCCACACCGTAAAAAATCGAGATTTATACCACCAAATATATCAGTGCAGGTCAAGATACAGCTAAGAAAGAATAGAAAGAATAGAAAGTCAGCTAATTACGTAAGAAAGAAAGATACAGCTAAGAAAGAATAGAAAGAATAGAAAGCCAGCTAATTACGTAAGAAAGAAAGATACAGCTAAGAAAGAATAGAAAGAATAGAAAGTCAGCTAATTACGTAAGAAAGAAAGATACAGCTAAGAAAGAATAGAAAGAAAAGAAAGCCAGCTAATTACGTAAGAAAAAACAGCTGATCTTTTAAACTTATCAAGAGTCGGAGAAGTTACAATCTCTGAAGGCAATCTAATCTAAAGTCTATAAATGACAGTAAAAAAAAAGTATCTAGAAAACTGACTTGTAGACGATCGACTTCATATCAAATGTCATCGAATTGAGGGTCACAGAATATGACAACAATATCCTAATTCTTAATTATCGTTCATACTGGTGTCATCATAACTCAAATCACCAACATCACTATCATAAAATCTTCATACATCATCACTGCTATTAACATGATTGTAAACGAGTTGTATTTATGAAGATGGAATAGTTATCTTTAACCAAGTATGAGTAGATAGGTAAGTAACGTCTATGGGTGCTAAATAGCTCCTAGTTGCACGCTATTTTTTTGTGGGTTGGTAGAGCGTCTGGTTTGCAGTTGCTTGCCTAAATTTCATTTATTTATTTAATTATTTATTCATGATTGGAAATGATTTTGTTAGGCTACGCCAATTTTATTCGATGTTTCTCGTATTCGCCGCTTCATTCTTAAAAAAAAAAAAAAAAAAAAAAAAAAAAAAAAAAAAAAAAAAAAAAACTACAGGTTTTTGGGTAGTGTTGTTTTTATTATTATTATTATTATTATTATTATTATTATTATTATTATTATTATTATTATTATTATTTTTAGTTACTGGCTTATTAAATTTTGGATGGACATCATACAAAAAAAATACAATAATAGTAGTTGACAACTCGTGTAGCTTCAGTCAAAAACAATATTCTTTATTCGGAATTGTGGTAAGAGAAAAAAAACTAGAATAATCCTGTTATTCTTCATGTTCTGCAATCTCTCTTTCTTCTCCACAGACTTATTCCATTTTTCTCCCTGTCCACTTCTTTCTGAAAAAAAATCGATAAACAACAAATAAAATTGGTGTGGCCTTACCATCATAATGATCATTAATACTGCTATCGTCATAATTATCATAAATAAAATACTGTTAACACCATAATTATCATAAATAAAATACTAACACCATAATTATCATAAATAAAATACTGTTAACACCATAATTACCATTAATACTATTACCATTATTATCATTTATACTGTTGACATCATAGTTAATATTGTCATCACCATCATTCACATAACACCATGATCACCATTAATTTAGACTGCATTATCGTCAATATAATCAACATTACATCATTATCACTACAACAAAAGTCATTATTATCATGTTAGCAATTGCAAAAAAGTGTCATTTCAAGATACCATTGTTTAAGATTCCTACCATAGTAGTGTTATATGACACCTGTACCCTGTGAACTTCTATGTAAAGTTCAGGTATATTTCTGGTAATTTGAAAATTGATCTGTGGATAGTTCTTTTAATTATTTACTAAAGTTTCTTAAAATTTAATTGTCTCTGTCTATTTATCTGTCTGTGTCTGTGTGTACGTGTAAGACAATGACACAATCATTAAATAAACCAATGATACAATTCATTTAAGAAATATATAATTTTCTTCCTCCTCTTCCTTCTTTCCTCCATTCCTTAATTCCTTCCCCAACCTCCTCTTCCACTTCCTTCCTTCCCTCCTCCTCTCTTCCTCTTCCTTCCTTCCCCCAACCTCTTCTCTTCCTCCTTCCTTCCTCCACCTTCTCCTCCTCTTCCTCTCTTCCTTCCTCCAACCTCTCTTTCCTCTTCCTTCCTTCCCCCAACCTCTTCTCTTCCTCTTCCTCCTTCCTTCCTCCTCCTCTCCTCTTCCTTCCTTCTCTCCTCCTCTCTTCCTCCTTCCCTCCTTCCCTCATCGCATCGATAGTACTAAATAATTCACTGCCGCACAACCATGTGACTAAGGCCTTCCGTGCTCATGAGTCACCCAAATGGTGCAACTGGCAACGTGGATTCTCTGTCCTCTCTCACGCAAGCGCACACCCCTCCCTTTCATCCCACGAGATTTTGAAACCCCGTCTCTCCCATTTCAGCGAGAAATACACTCTAATTCTCTTATTTGGGACTCGCTGCGACATCTCGGCATCCATATTTACCATTCTCATTGAGAAATAACGACAGGGGTATTCTCCATGGGTGAAAATGAGGGTTTGTTTACATCCGTTTTCTCGTGGAAAAGGGAGAATGGAGGGTCGCCGCGTTGGCACATGTCTGACGCAACGCAGTCCCGTGTTTACGTCTCGGGAGAGAGAGGTAGCCATGGACTCCTCCTTATAATTCCTCAAATATCTCCCTCGGTTGTAGTAGATGGTCGACTCCGCGCGGTTGTGGATGAAGAGCGGTTCCCAGTGATCCATTCTGTGAGATTTTGGGGCTTGAGAATGTTTTGTGTTTTTAAGAAATTGAAGAAATAATGAGGAAGATTTTTTTTTATTTTGGATCCCTGTGTGTGTGCCTCGGGAATCGGGTTTTAAAGTGAATGTCTATTTTTGGATGAAATGAAGTGATAGAGAAGAGACAACAGTGGAAAATAAGGTTATCGGATGGAAAAGATCGTGTTTTACGAAAGAAAAAGCTTAGATATTAGTATTTCTTGCTGATAATGTGAAAAACACTCCCCTGTAGGCGCTACCAGACGTATAACTAAGCCTACTGATGTGATAATTTCGAGGGAAAAAACCTGAAATGAAGTGAATGGAAGTGATGAAAGATAGTGAAGCACGAATAACAGAAAACTGACAATTATTCCACACTTTTTTACATTATTAACGATAACCCATAAAACGAAATAAGAACCAAAACAGGAACAAAAGTAACACGGAAAAATATGGAAATGTTTACTGAATATTTACTCATTTAGACATTACTGATTATGATATCCGCTTATTTGTGTATCACAATTCCTTTCTATATTGTCGAAGAATCTAAATGTGATATGACAGTTTGACAGTTAAATGACGTTTAAAATCCGCGCCTTCATACACCGTCCAACCTCTTTATTTACAGTAATTAAGCTTTTGATTGTGTGTTTTCTTTATGCCAATAATTGCTAGAGAAATTGTAAGGTCTAAAAAAATGGAGCAAACCTTTGTATATGTATTTATTTTCGTTTAAAACATATGGAAAAGAAATGAAATTCGAACTGTCATCTGGTTGAGCGGGTTTCCAGTTAGGTACTTTCCTGAACCAATTAATTCTTCCAATTTTATCTCATTTCATTCCGTATTCACGCATTAGATGGTCCGCGTAGACTTTAATATTTATTCTACATACATTAGTATATCCCATAAAAGTAATAATAAGCAAATAACTCGCCAAATAGAAGCGTAATAAGGAGATCAATGAGGCAGAATAACCACCGGAGACCTCGTGCGAGGCTAGGCGGTGGGCGTGGCTTCGCTAAATCGCTTTCCCAGATACGAATTTTTTCGTTATAGATCGGACGGATTTATTCCCCTTCGTCCGTCATCTCGCCCAGACGCTGTCGATGACTTTCCTCGCTGTATTTCAACTGTATTTGATGTATTCTCGCACCCATTATGTTCCGCCATTTTCCACTGCATGTGGGAGTGGCATTCCGAACTGTATGAGATGTATTTATGTCTATATTACGTGTAAATGTTCCCCCCATTTCTTTCCTATTAAAAAAAAATAACACCACGAACGCCATAACAAACCGACGAACACTCCCGTTGAACAGAACATTTAGCAGCAGTGTGAATTCCTCTGCGTCGCGGGGAGGAACGGACCAACCCACCTCCCTTCGCTCTCTGCTTCGTCGGCGTTCGTGTAAGGGGGAAGAGAGAAAGAGAGAAGAGAGAGAGAGAGAGAACGAAGTTACCACTATGAAAGCGAGATCGAGGCACCGGGCGGCGTGGAACAGGTGAACTGGCCTAATTACCGTCAGTCGCCGGTGAGCGCTTGTCTGGGTAGCACAGGGTCGTCACTCTCTCCCCCTCCTTCCTCCCTCCTTCTTCTCACACAGCTGTTTATTTATTGCGAGTGCTTTGGCGTGAGATAAATTAAGGGAAAAACAATAGAAACAATAGAAAACTTGAAAGGATAAAGAGGAGAGAAGACGCAAGGTAGAAGGAAAAGAAGAAACGGACGATTTTTTACATTTTGGATTCTCTTCGGTGGCATGTGTGCATGAATTCGTCCCGTCGGGATTCTATGGAGAAAACTTTGGATGAATCGAAATTCTGAGACGCTGGATATAAAGGAAAATAAATCAAGATGTGTTCGGCGGATTTCGGGATGTTAGACCTCCTGTTCGACAAGGATGATCCTGCTGTCAAAGGCATGGATGGCTTCAGAAACACGATGTTCAGCAGCACAGACAAGTTATCCGACTGTTCGGATATCAAGGAGGAGGTGCTGGAGTCGGGCACGATTGACTGGAAAATGGTGAGTTGAAAGAGGCTTCTGTTTTACTGTTTTTTGGTGCGTGGGATCTTTTTTTTCTTGGTAGGGGTGTGTGTGTTGTCAGTGGTTGGGGAAAGTTGAAATGGAGGGTTTATGTTTTTCCCTTTTTGTTTCGTCTTCGTGGTTGGTTTGGAGGAATGTTTTGGCAAGATTTGTGAGTGTTTTTTTTTTCTCTCCTTCGGGAATCGGGAGAGTGGTGCTTTCTCGTGCTTTAGAAAAGTTTTGGGAGTCTGGCACGTTGATTGGAAAAAGTGTGGGAGGATTACAAATCCTCATTGCACACGTCGACGGATTGAACCATGTCGTGGCTCGATTTGCGACCGGCATTGTCCAGGATTGGGAGAAGGATTGGGCGATCTGACAGGTGAATTCGGCGCGACAGCTGTTCGTTGCGTCAAGATCAGCTGTGCGTGGGGCGGAACCGGCATGGCTTCCTCAGCCGGGGGGGGGGGGGACGCACCACCTCCCATATTTCCCTCGTTTCTCTCCCTTTCCCCTCGTGTTTCGCCCTCGTTCCACCCTTCCTCCCACTCCGTAGCATGCACGGCGTCGACCTCGCCCGCCGCCGGGGGATTCCAGGCCGGGAAACACGCGATTTGAGGACGCCATATGTGCGGAGTCCGCGACCGCCGCCGCCGCCGCCGCCGCCGCGTGGGGACGAATCACATGGAGTCAATATGGTGCCACGTAAACAGATGGGCGGCCGGCACGCTGGATTCGCACGCCCGCACCCGGCTTGTTTGACCTCTGGGTGGCTCGTTGGGTGGTTTGGGTGCGGTGTGTGGCGGAGAGATAGATGTCGTCGATTCTCCGGTCCATAAGGGTGGGATTTAAGGGAAAGCGGTCCCGTCGTGTGCCTTGGCGTCCGTTGCACGTGGGGGACGCCGTCAAGAACTTGCAGGCTTACACACGCCCACATGTTGGCATAATACGTACGCATGACCATGGCACATAGGTGTACATGTGCGTATACACGGACACGCTGTTTATGCGTACATCGAAACGTGTGCATACGCATTTTCGTGCATGCAGACTTGCGCATATGGATGCATGCTTACGCCAGACGGGGTCAGATAAACGCATTTTGATCCGTACGCAGACAAACACGCATATGCACGATCGTATTGCTACATATTTATATTTACGCAAATGGATACGCACATGTGCACACGTATACGCACATGCACGCACACGTGTACACGCATACGCACATGCACGCGCACATGTACACGCATACGCCACGCACAATCATGTACACGCATACGCACATGCACGCACATATGTACACGCATACGCACATATGTATACACATGCACACTATGTATACACATACATCGCACATATGCACGCACATATGTACACATACACGCACACATACACACATATGTATACACATACACGCATGACGCACATATGTATGCACACATACACAAATGGACGCACATATGTATGCACACATACGCACACATGTAAACATACGCACATGCATAACCACACATAAATACACATATTTGCATACCCTTACAAAACATTTACATATCCATACACACGTCGATACATACGCATACGATCGCGCACTTACATATGTACACTTGTGCATATGGATACAAACACACTTCTGTACGTATGTATAAGTATATGTATACCTACACACTGCAGTATACATGCACACATATTGCGCTTATAAATTCACATGTGCGTGAGCATTTACTCAGACAAATGCAGGGGCACGCACGCAAACGCACGCAGCATCACGCACTCACTCACTCACTCACTCAACTCACTCACTCACTCACTCACTCACTCATTCTCTCATTCTCTCACTCTCACTCTCACTCTCTCACTCTCCATCTCTCACTCTCTCACTCACTCACTCACTCACTCACTCCTTACTCACTCACTCCCCCCCCCCCCCCCCCTCTCCCCCCCCTCTCTCTCTCTCTCTCTCTCTCTCCTCTCTCTCTCTCTCTCTCCTCTTCTCTCTCTCTCTCTCTCTCTCTCTCTCTCTCTCTCTTCATCCACAGATCTTTCAACTCATTCCCTCATGCCCCACTACGGCATACATACATGCCCACCAACATAGACCTACATACGTACATGCCCACCAACATAGACCTACATACGTACACAGCCCACCACCATAGAACGTACATACACGTCACGTCCACCACCATAGGCCTACATACATTCAATTGATTTGCCATTTCGTCAGATCGCGATACACTCTGCGCCCTCAAGAAAGACACACGATGATGAAAGTTACACCCATCCCGCAGTACACAGGCGGCCCACGGTCCGGATACCGTATTGTGTCCACACCGGCGAGGGAGATAGGTGTTTCCTCCGGTTGAGAGTGACTCACGGCTCACGGTACCGGTATTCCCCAGTCCGGCGCCGGTTTGAGGTGACGAGTGGCTTCTTGACGGACGGAAGATGAACTTTTGGGGAGGGTTGGTTGGAAAAGCTTTCGGGGTGGAGAGAGAGAGGGAGAGAGAGAGAGAAAGGAGGTAGGGAGGGAGGAGGGAGGGAGGAAGAGAAAGAGGGAGGGAGGGAGAGGGAGGGGAAGGAATGGAGGGAGTAGGCGGGTGGGCGTGTGTGTGGTGTGTGTCGTGTAAGTGTGTGTGTAGGTGTAGGTTTTGTGGTGAGTGAGTAGGCGCCTTGTGTATGTGTTGTGTGTTGTGCTGTGAGTGTGTGTGTGTGTGTGTGTGTGTGGTGTGTGTTGTGTGTGTGTGTGTGATTAGGTTGTAGGTTTGTGTGAGTGAGTACGGGTGTGTGTTTGTGTGGGTTTCTGCTTGATCGTGTGGTGCCCTTGTGTGTAGGTGTAGGTTTTGTGTCTGGAAGGGTAGCGTGTGTCATGGTGTGTCGTGTGTGTGACAGAACGACCGAAACTCGTCATTACACATTCGAATTCCGCTTCAAATAAGATGAGCCTCGAGAATTCATCGGGTCGGTTTGCTGTCGACCGACGGACCTTTGCTCGCGACTGTACGGGATGTGACGGAAATTAATTTCTT